CACTGGATCTCCTGTACTGGAGTTACAGAGGGTGGTGAGCCACCATGTGAATGTTGGGAACTGAACTGAGTCCTCTGAAAGAGTAGCCCATGCTCTTAACCACTGCTCCATCTCTCCAGTCCATATCTGACTTACTTTTAGCTCATTGGTCTTTTGTTTCTACAACAAAATTGCATTAAACTCATTTGCCTTGTGTTGCTAGGTAATGGGATTCAAAATAATAAATTATATGCCTTTCACACATATAATGAATGGCAATGAACTGGGAGAGACAACAGTGTTGACAGATATTTTTGATTTGTTTCATCAAATTTGAAAAGCTACTTCCTTAATCTAGTTTTGCAGATTTGTTAAAGAAATCTGTTAATATGTGACCAAGCTCATTCATAGCTTCTAGGCATTTTTAAATGATGGATTCTTCAATATAAATCTTTCTTCTTAAGGGTGGGCAGACATACCTTTAACTTGTTACACAATAGAAAAGTCATTCTGTATTTCTAAACTGCTTCGTGTGAAAAGAATAATTATCAACAGTTTAATTCTTGTTCTATACTCTATGTTATTGATTTTTTTAAGTTTTTAAAACGTAAGATGTTTTAAGTTCAGTCTTTTCTGATACCCATTTTGGCAATTTGAACATGTTCCATATTTGTCCTTTGGACTAGCATATAATATCATTGATGTATTCAAGGGACAGTGCTTGGTTCCAGGTTCCCTTTCTCAGTGTGGCCTTCATACTGTCTGAAATTGCTGCCGCCTTCACACATAGCGTGGACCTTCAAGGAAGAGCAGATGACGGACAGATCTCTGTGTCTGAGCTTACACCCTCACTGTGGAGTGCGTTTTCACTTATAAATGGTTCTAACCTTACATCTGATCCACCCAAATGCAGTTCACCTATTTCTCACAAACACATTCTTCTCACTGCATTTGCATCTTGGTGAATGCCTTTTTATGTTTACTATCACTGAAGCCATTTTCTAGACACTGGTGAATAACTCCTACTCCCAGTGTCTTAGGGTTTTCACCTCATCAGTGTGGCATGGCTCCTTCCCATAGAAGTACTTTCTGGCTGGGACCGCCAGCCCACAAATGGAGACTTACTACCAATTATGAAAGCTAGTTTCCAACTAGCTCTGCTAACTTAAATTAATCCATATTTTTAAATCTTTGTTCTGCCATGGGGCTCATTTCCTCATTTCCATACTGCATGCCCCCCCCCCCCCCCGCATTTTCCTGGTGAATCTGCCTTTCCTCTTCCCATAGTCCCTGGAAGTCCCGCCTATTCTCTCCTGCTTAGCTACTGGCTGTTCAGTTCTTTATTTCACCAATCACAGCAATACATTTTCACACAATGTACAAGTATCCCACAACACCTTCCTGCTTTAGCCTATGACCCTGTCCAGTGCTAGACACTCATTGTTCCTCACCTGCAGCTGGACTATTGCCTGGCCTCCCTGGCTGCAATGTCATCCTTGTTAGTCTATTCATACTGCTACCGCCAAAGCTGTCTTTGAAATACCCAAGTAATCTTGTTGCTTTTAGAGTTCTTTAGCCTAACATGGGAGGTGTCTCCTGCTGATTTTCCCAGGTGCACTTGCTACCTTGCTGCTCAGGTTTCCTCTGTTTGTAGGGCCACCCACCTTAGCCTGCATGCTCCTCCCCATTCTGTGCTTCCAGCTGTTACAGTCATGGTTTCTTTGTTTAGTGTTTTGTTCTGCACTGCTTACAGAACGGCTTTTTCTCACTGCCTAAGGTTCACTTTGTTCTGAACTCCTGTATTTGCAACAGCATGGATGAACCTAGAGGACACTGTGCTAGGCAAGATCACAGACAGAAAAGAGCAAATACATGATAATCTCATTTTTTTGTATGTACTCTAAAAGAAGTCTAAAATTAGAAGAGTGTTTCATGCTGGGTGCTAGAAGTAGGGCATGAAGTAAATGAGAATAAATTAATTAAGGGATACAAATGATAGTTTTAAGATGTATAAGTTCTGGGTATCTAATTACAGTATGGTAGTGATAACTGGTAATAATGTATTGCTTACTTGGAATGAACTAGGAGAATACATATTAAGTAATCACACAATGTACACATATGAGGTGATTAGATATAGTGAGCGTGGTGCTAATGAATTTAATTGTAGAAATTATTACATGATGTGTGTTGTGTGTGCAGCATATTGTAGACCTTGGATATCTGCTAATTTATTTATCATTTATGCCATCAAAAGCATAAATAAATTAACTGATAGAGTAGTTTTAGCCCCTTTAAGATGAGGATTTTCCTTTATACTGTAACTTTATTTTAGTTTCTACATAATTTAAAAAAATAGTTATTTTATATGGATAAATGTTTGCCTGAATGCATGTATATTTATCACATTCATGTAGTGATCACAGAGGCCAGAAAAGGTAGCAGATCTTCTTGTATTGGGAATTGCAGGTTGTTTGCCGCCATGTTGGTGCTGGGGACTGAACCTGGGTCCTCTGCAAGAGCAACAACTGCTCCTAAGAGCTGAGCTACCTCTCCTGCCCTCAGTTTCCATAAAATTTCTTTGTCTATACTTTTGGTTTGAGAACTTTCTCTTGACATTCCCAGCCCTTAATCAACATAGTACTTGATGCATAACATAGGCTCAGTAATTGTTGGGTGATGATTAAATTGACAGATAGCTTAGAGCATCCTGTTTTTATATTATGTGCTCTTTAAAATCTCTACATTATACTTCATTTTCTTTGCCAGGGTTAAAATTCATATGTTACTCTCTCTACCAGCTTGTATAGATGTGTAGGGTCTTCTTTTTTCTTTATAATACCATCTGTGAGTTTCTTCATCAGCTGGAAGCATTTAATGCCTCTTAGGCTTGGAAATCCTGTGTGTGTGTTTTTTATCTGACACATTTATAAAAGATCTTAAATAAGTGTCAGTCCTTGAGGAGCTGAATTCTGTACACTTGTCTATCCAGGGACATCCCCATTTGACCTTGATAATGAATAAATATTTTGGACTGGTTTGGAGTAAGGATAAACAGACGGCCTATGAACCCATAGTATCATCAGTTAAAGTAACCACTAACACCTACAGTAGGATTTAATTTAGAAGAACGATGGCCATCTATCCATGAGGATATTTGGCACATTCAGTATATAATGTGCAGTATCATTTGTGAGCAATGACACCATTGATAACATTAGCTAGCCTTCACCACTTGGTTAAGGTAGTGCTTGACAATTATTTTCCTGAGCAGTTCAACCAGCCATGTAATCATTATTTACCATCTCTTCTCTGTCTGTGATAGTCTCCAGTGAGAATTACTTCAAACTGTTGTATACACAGAAATAACCTTGCTGTCTGCCCACACTAAGGCACTTTTATACTTCAGTTGCTATAATATTTTATATCCTGTTTCATTCGTATTTTCATTGCTTGAAACTGACTTATTTCTATGTTTGCCTGGTTTATTATTTGTCAAGAAATTTCCTGTCCGCTAACATGATCTTCCAGAGATCAAGGGTCTGGTGGGGTTGCTCATAGCTGTACTCCTGAATTCTAACAGAAGGGTTAGTATATACTAAGTATGTAGCAACTATTTGTTGGTAAATATCAAGGAAAAAAATGTAGAAGAGATTCATTAGCATTTCTGCAATAGAAAGAGGTAGTTGAATGGTGAAAACTTTAATTTAGTGTTTTTAATTCACTTGGGTTATTTTAGTGAAAAGTTAAATGCAAATATTGCTATCTATGGAAATTAGGTTAACAGAATATTAGTAATTCACGATGCCTCATGATGCACTTAGTAATGTGTCAGAGTTCTTAGTGAGCTTATGGGTGTGATGACTAGCTTTAGTTACCACCTGACAGACTAGACTCACCTGGACAGGAAGCCTCAATGAAGTGTTGTCTAGGCTGGCCTGTGGGCAGGCACGTCTGTGGGGGAACTGTCATTATGTTATTATGGAGGGAAAACCTACCCACTGTGGGTGGCACCATTCCCTAGAGAGGGCGTTTCTAACTCTCAGAGAGTAGGGGAAGAGAGCTGAATACTGGCATGTACGCGTTAGTTCAGTGCTGTCCACTTTTGACCATGGGTGTAGTGTGAGTGTCTGCCTTGTGTTTCCGTTCCGTTGATTTCCCTGCAACGATGAATGGGAACCTGGAATTTTGAGCCCAAAGAATTGTTTCTTCTGTTGTGGGAGATTAGTTGAAGGTGCGCATCATTTGTTTACGTTGTGGGACATTTGTTTACTGATGCGAAGATGTGCTGCGTTCTGAGTTGTAAAGCTGGTACTTTGACTGCCCGAGACACCTGATTGGTCTAATGTAGAGTTGAACAGCCATGAGCTGGGCAGAGAAAGGATGGGCAGGGCTGGCAGGCAGAGAGAATAAATAGGCGAAATCTAAAAAGAGAAAGGGAGGCATGAGAAAGGAGGAGAGAAGGATTCCAGCCACCCAGCCACACTATCAGCTATCCAGCTATGGAAGAAGAAGAAAAGTAAGATACATAAAATAAAGAAAGGCAAAAGGCCCAGAGTCATAATGTAGTTAGAGAGAAATGGGATAATTTAAGTTAGAAAAGTTGGCATGAAGCAAGCCAAGCTAAGGCCGGTGAATATAAGTAAGAATAAGTCTCTGTGTATTTATTTGGGTGCTGGGTGGCAGACTCCCAAAAAGAAAAAAAAAACCCTACATTTTTTAAGTTGATTTGTCATAGTATTTAATATCAGTAATAGGAATCAAACTAAGTCAACATATATGGCTGACCAGTGACATCTCTCCACCATTGTGACCTTTACCTGCGAACTGCTTCCTCTCCTATCGTAGGACTTGAGAATCTGCAGGACTGCACAGATTCCCCAGGTCCGTGTTTACTCCAGCAGACTGCTTAGCACCTGCATCTTGCTCATGCTGCCCATCTTGCCCCAAGGGAGCATCCAGGTAATATGTCTTCTTTCTATGATAAAGAGTAAGAGTGTTTTTTCCCCCCTTCTTCTCAGGACTTAAAATCTCCAGCCCAGAGGGATGAAATTGCAGGGGCGCGGGCAGCCTTGAAGGAGAACTCCCCGCTCTTGCATTCCATCTGTTCAGCTTGTTTGGAACATTCCGATGTTGCTTCGCTCAAAGCCAGCAAGGACACAGTCTGTGAAGAGATTCAGAACGCTCTTGATGTCATTTCAAATGCTTCCCAAGGCATCCCCAGCGTGCCGGCGACTTCCGAACCTCAGGCGGCAACCCTGGGGAGTGCTCTTGATGAGCTGGAGGTAAGTGGAGAGAACCAAAATGTGACTAAACGTCTCAGTACAAGTAAGCAGAAGCAGACTTCCGGTTCCTAAGTGGGAGTTTAGAGAACCGACTTTTACCAAGCTCTAATCAGTCTCAATGACCTTCTTGAGCCTTTCTGCGAATTGACAGCAAGATTTCCTATCAGCCCACTTAGCATTCCTCCGCCAGTGAAGCCTTTCAAATGGGAATTGCCCGAGATTCAAGTGAAGATTTTTATTTTATGTAGATCAACTTCTAAAGTGGAGGATTTATTTACTGTATGAAATTTATCAGCACCGTTGTACGTGCTCGAGAAATATATCCCGTCACTGCCTCTGACAAGGGCTTATATTTTAGCGAGAGCGTGTAGGCAAAAAGCACACAAGTCATTATAAATAACCAAATCGCATATCATAGTATAAAGGGGTGAGGTACCCTTAAAGATTTGAGGAGTTTAAGCCAGGAGCAGATGGAGATCGAGAACATAGGAACGCCACGGGCCCCTTTGTTTGTGACGTCACAGAAGCCAGGAACCTGGGTGGAGTCAGCAACAGGGGGCGTTCACGGACCAGGGTACAGAGCCAATGGGACCAGGCAGCAGAAGGCTGTGCAGGCCTTTCCTCTGAGAAACTGGGACTCGATAAGGCTTTAACACACTGAAACTCATGCCTTACAGGAACCATGTTAACACCAAGTGAGCACAAAGTCAATGTAAGTAAGGTGAGAAGCTGGGAACCAGGCGGGAGGCTATGATAGGAACCTGAGCTCACCTTACCCCTTACACGCACCACCCCGCTGGTGGTCACGACAGCCGCAGCAAGGCTCAACTTTGTAAGTAGGAATCAACTAGATAATAATAGAATGGATGGATAGATGTGTGGGACATGAGCAAAGGGAGGAATCGTAGAGGGCATCACACTCTTGAGTCCTTTAGCAACAAGGTTCATGATCTGAGATGCTATTAGGAGTTAATATCTGGGCAGCCGAGAGAGGGAATGAAGTCTGCCTGGGGAACAGACCTACAAAGGCTGGGCCGACTGACAATTGGTACTTAGAGAGCATTGGTTTTCAGAGTGTGCCTTACTAGGCTGAAATATATAGGCCTTTCTACGTCTTTCAGTTGGTGAACGTAGGTCAAACTCTGGAGTCAGCAGGGCTTGTCCACGATTGGACTATAGGCTCTGCTTGGAAGGGGAAGGAGCTCTCATACATCTTATACAGCATGGATAGTTACTTTTAAAGTTTAATTGAGTAGCTCTATAGAAGAGGTTTTCATTAACCACAGGAGGGCTGAGGGTAAAACCTGGTCATAAGCGGATGAGAAACCCAATTTTGAGCAAGTTGAGGGATTTACCAGGCCTTCAAGTACGATATCACTGAGCACTGACTATCCTAGTCCAACACGGAGGCTCCTTAGTGGGAGTTAATATGGTGTGTGGTTTAAAGATAAAAATTTAGAGCCTTCATTCTTGGGTTTATAGTTCAGCTGTGGCACTTGCTATGTTTGTGACCTTGGCAACAATATTTATGGAACCCCGTCCTGCTTACAAGTGTCCTGCAGCAACAGCACAGAGTTATCAGATAAAATGAATTCATAGTACAGGTGTGGTTGTTCAGAGCAATGCATAGTAAATATTCAGCCTTAATATCATTATAGAGAATATTTGGAAACAGATTTTTCCACAATGAAAAAGATATTTGTAATTAAAGTGACTAAGGTCTTACTGATGGCTTAAAAATCAGCACAACTTACATAATGTCTGTATGGCTCTTAATTTCATAGTAAATTTATTAGATAACTCATACTATTAAGTTTGATTGCTTGCTTTCCCTTTAGCTACATGCCTTTAAACAGAGTCTTCACTTCTAATACAATATTATTAGCTGTATTATTGTATATTTTTATATCCATGTGAAAATGCATAACATTCCTAGTTATATGCAGAGTTCAGAAACTCTTCCCTGATAGGTTAAAAAAAATGAATGGAAGCTAATAATCTCCTATCATCCAGTGTTCGCTCTCTGTACAGAACACACAATCATCTCGTGTGTTATAAGCTTATCTCGATGTCCTGGTTTTTAAGATTGAAAATCTCCTTTCCTGGGACCAGTCACAGATACCAGAAGAGAGCAGCTAGACACCAGTAACGTGTTAGACTCTAAATAAATAACATAAAACTTGGGGGCCAAAATACATGGGAATCTCAATAGTAGTTCGAAAAGCTTTGGGGCGTTGATCAATTATTTTATACCAGGTAGCAAGGGGAATGGCGTGGCCACTGTTAAACACATGAATGTTTATTCACTGGAGGAAGGAGCCATTAGAGGCCATGGGAAGTCCTAGTCATGCGTGTCTTGTTCTTGCCCCTTCCACACACAGTCCTGTCTAAAATACATCACGTTCTGTTGAAACCTTGTCACTCTGGTCACCTAATGTTCTCAATGATACTGTTAGCATCCCCAAAGCAATACGTAAGCCACACACATGTTCTTAGAGGGATTTTATCTCAGTCACCAGTGGCTGTAACCTGAGGAATCACGGGCATTCTCAAGTGAACCAGCTGTTCAATGTCCTTGATTCCTGCCCCTGTCTGCTGGCTCCCGCTGTTCTCACCCCTTGTAAGCTTCGACTTCGACTAATGGACTTTGACGGTGAAGAGGGGAGTTGAGTTGGAGGCCTTCAACCTTGACTGGGCTGTTTTAAGATTTCACAGGTTGCCTTTACTGGCACCCCACGCCAGTGCTTGGGTTTAGAATGTGACCTAGAGTGTGACTAGACTGTGTGTGGTTTGCCATGTGACATAGACCGTGTGTGCTTTTCTGCTTAGGAGGGTTGGTTTCTTGACTTCCTTCAAAAACAAGGAATACTGTCGAAAGAACTGTTGAAAAGATCCTGGTTTCTCTAGCAACACAGGAGCTTGACCTGTCTGTCTGCTTTGATGTGCGCCTTTTCATAGAGGTCATCTCTGAAGATGCAAGCTTACCCACTGTGGGAAGTCAGGGCATCTGCAGACAAATGGTAACTTGGTCTTAATGTGCAAATCCTAGGCCTGACATGTGGGCGTGTTTGCTATACTTCAGCAGTGGGCATAGAAAATCACCTGTCCAGGATACTTGGTTGTCTAGTAGCTAGGAAGTGGGCTTTCAGAGAGATGCTCCAAGTTGAATATATACATATATTTATATATATTCGATCATATATATGTGATTGATTATATATATTATATATACCATTTGGCATGGACAATAAAAATGTAGTTTGTCCTCCTCATACTTATTTTCCTTCCAGGTAGTTACATCCAAAAGAAAACTGCTGTATTCCATTCTCTACTTTGCTCCCCTGTTAAACTAAACATGGGGATTTACATAAGTTCCACTCCTGAATGCATATACAATTTATACAATATCTTTTATTAAGATGGTTAGCAATCTGTAGCTATTACTTGGCAGATGTCTTGAGACATAAACTCTCATCCTTTGGATTGAGAGTTTTTTTCTTGTTTGTTTTTTTCTAAATGAATCCAATCTTTAAAGTAAAAATAAAGTATTTCTAGATGACTAAAATGTTTTGAGATTTACTTATACATATTTATGTTTTAAGTATGTATTTATTTAGATGTGCAGGGGCATACAATACATCCATATGCATGAATATATACATACATGTGTATGTGTGTGTGTATGCACAGAGGCCAGCAGAGAGCATCCAGAGTCTCCTATACCAGTCTTCACTATTCCTTTGAGGCAGAAGCTCTCCCTAAACCTGGGGCTCTTATTTTCTTGGCTAGATGTGAAATCAGCAAGTATAATGAATCTTCTTGTCTTTGATCCTCTCAGAGCAGAATTGGGGTTAGTAGTGTGTGTTAGATGCTTGGCTTGTTAAGTAGATGCTGAGATTTGAACTCTTGCTCAAGCTCTTTTAACTGCTGAGCTGCTTCTCCAGCCCTTCCGGCTAAACATTTGACATAAATTATTCACTTGATTATTACAATATTATCATTGAAATTTTTGTATTTGCTTTACAGAAAATAAACTGTGTATATTTCTCATCAGGAAGCTAGTGGATAGGAACAGCCGGGAAATGGGTCTAGCTGTTCTGATTCCAGAAGAATTTGTAGTTGTGCTTGTATTGAGTTTTCCTAGGTAGAACTTAATGTGCTCCATCAAAATTCAGCATAATGTATGCTAAGGTTCCTACTCCATATGAATCATCAGAAAAGTTATAAATGTAACCAAGCCTTCCTGGTGGATTAAACACTGTCCGTGGGCCATTAAGTAGCAATAGTCTCTATTTGGAAAGTGCTTCTTGTAATGGGGTGGAACTTTCCAGAGGAATGGGCAGGTGGAATTGTATAGCACATTTTTCCAAAGTGTTAAACAGATTTGTATTCAGAGACATTCCCACAAAAGACCTCATTTATCCCCAAAGTTTTCCAAATTGGTCCTCCACTGAGACATACTTGGCTTCTCACTTCAGTTTGAGGTGAATGCAGAGGTTGGAGAGGCGAGAGCCTGGGGAAGGGTCTTTTCAAGAACAGACACCTCGTATGGCCCATTTACTTCTGAACAAGCAGGCAAAAGACCTAACATATTTTCCCGAGAACCTAATTCTGTCTTAATAACTGAAATTTACCTGTAGTCAAAGATAGGGTTTTAGAACAAAATGGCTGAAAAAGTATATCAAGTTACAAATAATTGCCAAAGCAGTCTGAACTAGATGAGACAGAATTTACTGAACATTTAACCTTTTAACAATAATTCTGTGAGTTAAATGGTTGCACTTTATATTATTTACAGGGAGCTATATTGGTGGAGGATCTGAAATAACCTTTGCTCTATTTTGCTCCTGCAAATATACTACTAGGAAATAAATGGGTGTAGTAAATATTCTGCTGGGAACCAGACTCATTAAATGTTTATAGTGTGAAAATGTATCAGAACACTTACTCAACAGCTACCACGCTAAAGCTTCTGTTAAATCTTTTATTCTGGGCCCTGG